TTGAGTCCTCTAAACTCCATTAGCATCTTTCTAAGCCTCCTCTAAGGAGTATTTTTTCTGATCATATCTAGAACTCCTCTACATTGATTTGAAGATCTGTGAACTTCCTCTGGGCCTCTTAAACTCCTCTAAACACCTCTAAACCTTGAATATGCTGTGAAGTGTTCTAAACCCTTCTAAAATACCACTACACAGCTACAAAATGCCTCTGATGAGCTCTGAAAGAGCTATTTTTTTACACGCCCTAAGTTATACCTTTTGAAGTCTGATTCTAAAACACTCCAGAGTGCTAAACCAGTGTGGACTTCTTTAAAGGGCTCAACAATACTCTAGAAAACTTAAAGAGCTCTAAAATACACCACACTGCTCTACAACCCAACAGCTCTAAAACTATTCTAATTGGCTACAAACAACAGTGGGAAGTCATAAATTCCTCTAAAATTTCCAGGAAATCCTCTAAACAACACTGCTACAACGATGCTTAAAGGAGCAGTAAAATGATTCAAAACAGATGACAAGCCCTTCTCAATTTCTGTGGGGAACTGATTTGCTCCCCACACAGGGCATCAATCAACTGTGGTGGCATGACTGAGGTGTCAACACATCAAAGGGGATACAAGGGGTTTTCCAGGTCTCAAGGAGAAAAATGAGCAGGTGCTGTTTGCTGGAAATATATTTCTTGTATAAAAGCATCAGTCTCAAAGGCAAAGAGTTCAGAGAGTTAAAGTCCTTGCTAAAAGCTTTTAGTATAAAGTCCTGATGTCCTGGGCAGCAGCTTCTTGGCATGGAGTCCTGTTGTCCCAGGCCGCAGAAGCAGTTGCAGTAGTTCTTGGTGATGATGATGCTGCTGCTGTTCTTCAGGTGGGTTTGTGTCTGAGAGAGATCCCCAATACAGGGGATTAAATTCATAAATCATCCAATCAGCTAATAACATGGTTCTAAACCAAAACTTTTTACATCAATCCAAGCTTAATTCTAACTAATGAAAGCAATGTTCTCTTTACCTAAATCCTATGTATAGGGTATTATCTGTTTACATGAATAATCCTATCTGTTCTATCTAGAATATAAGCTATGTTTTCATTATGTTTAGAGCTAAGTTGAATCTGTGAAGGGTATCACTGAACTTTAAACTGGGAAATAAAATAAGGCTTTTCACTAGCTAACACAAGCTCTTAAAGCATTTAAGCTATATTTCTACCTACTTAAATCTAAAACCTACACTCTTTCCCTATATCTATGGCTTAATATATTTTAATTATTTTCTCTCTCTGAGGGACTCAGTCCATGCTCAGACGTTGGTCCTGTATCAGTTATGCAATTTACAGTATATACCTCGTAACAAGGAGATGTTCTTATTCCTGCTTGCACAGCCAGATTCTGTGGTCAGGCCTTTTTACAGTTTCAGCACTCACGTGCTTTAGCAATCACTTGTCTCACCAATTATATGTATTAAAAGCAAAGCAATCACAATATATTGTTTTATTTAAATTTGATTAACAAACAATAGCAATCTATTACAGACTCCTTCTTTATTGACCTTGATGTTTTCATGCTGTCTTCCTACGTGTCGATCTGTCCTTTCCCTGGAGAGAAGAACAAGATCTGCAGGTGTCATCTGTGTAGTGAAAGGGTTAAATCTCGCCTAGTGCCACAGCAGTCATGGTGCTGGATTTCAGGCCACACTGGTGCCTCCCTCAGCTCAGAAGCCACTGAGAGGGGTGGGTGGTCCTTGGCTTGGAGCTGTCTGTGCTGGGGGGGTGGAAGGTGTTGGCGAGTGTCAGCATCCATGGCCCGGCCCAGGGCCGGACACCCCCACCCCACCCTCGTCCGTGACCTCCATCCCCCACCTGGGAGCCACTGGGGTCTGGCCCAGCCCCCACCCCCCAGCTGCACAGGACACGGGGGAGCAGGACCGGCCTCATCAGAGCTGTGCTACTTTTCAAGGCCAGAAAAAAAAGAGAGATCCCGGGCTTATGGTTTTTAAAAGGTGGCATTCGCCTTTTAGAAGATGAACCTAATTTTCAATGGTGCAAAATGTTGTCAGTTCCCAGAACTGGCCAGCTATTGGCCTGTCTCAGGCACAGAGGAAGCTCCCAGCAGCTTTTCTCAAAGAAATCACTTTCGTAGGTGGCTTTTACTATTTTCACTAAGTGTCAAACCACCACACTCACACTTATCACTCTAAAGACTCTCTATAAAAGCTCCCCTGAATAATAGTGTGTGAAAAACAAGGTTCACTTTCTTAATAAATTATAAAAAGTTTAATATAAACAAAAAACAATTAGGAGATAAAGAAAATAAAGCAAAGGGTTAAAACGTGCCCTGGTTCTTGCCAGGAACACACTTGGTATCTTTGGAACACTCTTTTTATCCCCTCCTGCTGTGAGGGTTTAATGCATATTCAATTCAATTAATTCTAATTAATTTCTAAGAAACATTTTGCATGGTTACACCCTGAACTCGCCTCTTCAGAGCATGCTTCGTATGGTTTTTATTTTTGCTGATCATCATTTTATTTGAATTTGATTTCCTTTCTTTGCAAGTGGTCAGTGCTGATAACAGTCTGGGCCCCTCATCATACCACCGGTGACAGCAGGACTTCGTCCTTCTGCTGCCAACGGCCTGGTCCTGGCTGCTGATAACAGCCTTGTCTCCATGTCCTGCTGCTGATAAACAGTCTGGGCTTCATTGTCTTTCTATAACAGCTAACAGATAACAGCTTGGGCCCCACTGTTTTTGCTCCCTGGGGTTTCCTTGCTTTGTACCATGAAATTCCTTTACGCTTAAAACTTGTTAGCAAGAGAAAAAGTACATACATAGCCAAAAAGTATTTAACATATAATATTCATCCCAATACTTGCGAAAGCCAATATCACAATATGGATTTATAACATAGTGCCTTCACCAAAGGCAGGTATATGTATCAGCAGCTTATGCTCTTATAGCAAAGCTCTCATACCTTCCTTCTGTTAGACAGCATGGGCAGCCAACTCACTCCACTCTCTCATAATTGGGCAACCCACTCTTTTGTAACAGATCTCCTTATTAGACACAGCTACAACTCAACAAGGGCAAGGCTGTTCTCTACTCTGTTGTCATTAGACACAACTGCAGCCCATCAAGGGTGAGGCTGCCCACAGCACCATCCTACACATTTCCTTGCAACAGGTCTAGAACTCTTTCCTGCAGTTCTGGAATCTCTGCTTAGAGACAGTGCTAAAACCCTTCTGAAGCCCTCTAAAACCAGTCTGAATGCTCTAGGTTGATCTAAACATCCTACAAACTGTTCTAAGCAGCTCTAAAGTCCTGTGAAATGTGCCAGAACTCCTGTAACATACTAAACTCCTTTTGATCTTCTAAACTTCTTGACACCTCAGAGCTCCCCTAAACTGATCTAAAGCTGCTCTATCTTGGTGTAGCAGCCCTAATATATCTTTAAATGCATCTAAAATGCCTCTAAATCTCTCCTGTACAACTTTCCTCCAGGAGGCTTTAAAATTCCTCTGAAGAGCTCAAAAGAGCTCTAAAACCCTTTTATTTCAGTCTGTGACTCCTGCAGAATTCTAAGTAGCTCTAAACTTCTCCAGACTACTGTAAAGCTTCTCTCCTGTGCTGTCAACACCATGAAGTAGCACTAGAACTGCATTAAAATACTCAGGAAATCTTGTGGACTTCCTCTAAATGGCTCTATAGAGCACTGAATTGTCTGTGAACTTCCAGACATACACTGATGCTTTGGGGAGGTGGAAGAGGTTGCAAGAGCTGGAACTATTGAGCCTGGAAAAAGATAAATTAACTGTGGGAATGGAAGAGTGTAGAGAAAGGGGATTTCTGGAAGAACAAGATGTCCCTCTAAGGAAAGGGAAATGTATGTGCTTTGTAAGGAGCTGCTAATAAGGCCAAAACCCAGAGAGTGATCTCTGCACGCAAACAGCCCACGGTGAGCATATTTTGTCATGGAGGAGGAATACCACAGCCTCAAACTCCTGAGGTTATTATGTGAATATGTGAAAAATGTGCTCCTGGGTCACACAACAAGGGATTATTCTCTCTGCAGGCACTGGGTGCTCTCAGAACACGCTCTAACAGAAGATTTGGAAGTGCACACTGAATGAAGAAAATTTTTTAAAAATATTTCTTGGAAGCTTATTGGTATTAATCTGTTCAGGGCAGTACCTTGCCTTTTAGGATGCTAGTAGTCCATTGGTCAGATCTCCTGGGAGTAGATTTGAATCCTGGCCCAGGTGCAGTTCTGGTAGGATGGGGAGGATTGTGCTGTGATGGAGCTCACACTCCACAATGGACATGGTACACATCTGGTAAAACCACAGGTTGGGCTGCATGCAAGGAGCAGAAAGCCTGAGCTCCATTTGCCTTTCTCACACAGGGACATAGATCCATCTGTCCCAGAGCAGGGACACTGCACTGTTATTTGGAGCGCTTCCACCATCTCAGCAGGGCTGAGAGGACAGTATTAGGTGAGATATTTGGATAAGGTTTCTCACTGTGATGATTGGGAGGCCCTGGCACAGGTTGCCCAGGGAAGCTGTGGCTGCCCCATCCCTGGAAGTGTCCAAAGGCCAGGCTGGACAGGGCGTGGAGCAACCTGAGATGGTGTCCCTGCCCATGGCAGGGGGTGGCACAGGGTGACCTTTTAAGGTACCTTCCAACCCAAAGCATTCCAAGATTTTGTTTGTCTCCATCCTGTTGTTTATTAATATTTAAAGGTTCATTTATTTTTTTTTATCTTGAATTTTACAGATAATAATGGATAACCCAAACCAGCCTTATCTCTTGCCAAAGCATGGGCAGTAGGAGCCCGTAGGGGTCGCGGCTGTGCTGAGGGGCCACGGGGGGCTGCGGGGCAGTCAGAGGATGAGTTAGCCATGGGCAGGCTGGGTGGAGATGGGCTGGATTTGGGGACGCTGATGAGGAGTGTGTGGTTGAACTGGTCGAGAGGCTGGGCTGAATAGGGCTGGCTGTGCAGTCGTCAGCTGCTGCCGCTGTCCCCGCCTTCTTCCCTCCTGGCCGTTCCCACACCGCCGCTGGAGGAGCGGCTTGGGGAGCTGCTGTCGCGGCTGATCGAGGTGAGGGGTGAGTTGCGGCGGAGCCCTCCCCCCGCTCCCCTGCCATCCGTTCCCTCGGGAATAGCTGGGGGTCTGCGTCTCTGCAGAACCGCCCTCCCTGCCCGGAGGGCTCGGCTGCACAGCCCGTGGCATTTTTATCCTTTCACAGAAGCACTTGAAGAGAGATGGTAATCCCTTTTATACTTTTTTTCCCCCCAACAGCTCAATGATACCCCGAAAGAAGTTAAAGGGTCTTGTAGCTGCTACCATCACTCCAATGACTCCGGATGGGTGAGCTGTCAAAGCTGCATTGATTATTGTTTCCTTCCACCCCTATTTTCCTTCTTTCTCATTTGCAGAACTGATCTGCTTGCTTTCTTGCTGTTTTGTTGTTGTTGTTTTTTGTTGTTTTTTTTTTAAAGCAGATCTCTGATGGGATTGGGAGAACTATTAAATTAGTCCGACTAAGACCAGACTGAGATTCCCCTCTCTCTGCTTCCTTCCTTCTGCTGCCAGCAAGTACCTTGCCTCTGGGTTCAGAGAGTTTCATATCTCCTTTTCTGTTGCTTTGTATATGCAAATTAAATCATAGTGCAGTTACATGTGTAGAGCATTGCAGTGTTTTCGCATTTGTTAAGGAAAATTGCAGTCCTAGTTAAAAAGAGCTCCCTAGAGCTAGAAAATAATTGTCAGAATCTGAAGGCCTTTTAGACTTCTCTGTACCTTAGCTAAAGTCATGCACGCAGTCATGTGTATGAGTGCATGGAATTAGTTTCAACTTGAAGAAAATACTGCAAGGACAGCACAGTTTTGAAAATAACATCAAATTGAAACTTGAAATTCAGCTTTCTTCAGACCAGGGGTGGAAAACAAAAGCCTCCTCACTGCATTTTAATGTTGCAAGACTGAGTTGTTTGGAGTTAGCAGAGACCCTAGCTCTCGTGGAGGATATTTCAGGATCTGTATGTGCTTTTGAGAGAGACAGTGGAGATTTACTAGTACAGATCTCCAGAACTTTAAGTGCTGAAAAACATGGCTTCATCCCAGTCATGGAACTCATTCTATTGCAGTCACTGCTTTGATTCTTGCTTCAAAGGAAACTTTTTTCTGTTTTTTTTTTTATTATGACTCAAATTTATTGCAACACAGTATTTAGAGAGTGACCTGAGCCCTCTGCCTGGACTGCATGGTCCTTGTCAGATATGTTCTGGGAAGGCATCTATGGAATTTTAAGTATTGTGTAAAACCTATCAAGGCATCAGAATTTACTTCCAGATCATAGGTTTGGTTTGTATTTTTGACAAATGAGAACAACACTGAAATATTATACATTAATAAACAAAATAAGTTTGTCTTGCATAGAAGATAACCCAAGAATTCTATTTCCCCTCTTTTCCAGGGAATCCTCTTACTCTCCTCATCCTTTAATGAGAGAGGTCAAAGTCACATCCATTGAATGCTGTTTCTGTATCAAGCAGTTATAACCATCCAGCAGTTTAACCATTTGCCAGCACTTGCACAAATAACTTTGTGCTCTTAAGAGGACTCCTGTTTCCCTCAAAAGAGGAAAAGGTTTAAGTGTCTCCTGTTCTCTCATATCTCCCAAAAAAGTTCTTTGCTGTGGCAAACCTGCAGCAATTCCCAATAAAAGTTTGGAATAGCAAACTTCAGGAGGAAGAGAAACTGCAAGAGAGAATTCAAGGCTGAGCTGCTACCCTCAGATGTTGAACAGATGTCAAGGGTTTTTAACCCTTGGGTAATCTGTGTGTGTACAAATGCAAGGGTTCAAAATACATGTTTTTTTTCTGTTTCTTAATCACTACGTTTGAAGTAACTGTAGGTGAGGACTTAATGGTTGCTGTGGTTCCTTTTATTGCAGAAAAATTAATCTCCCGGTGATTCGTCAATATGTGGATTATCTGGTAAATGAGCAGAATGTGAAGAACGTTTTTGGTAAGTGACCAAAACTATGTTACACACCTTTTACCTGGATGGGAATCCTGTGATATCTCATCTGATAGGAGCTGTAGTGGGAGGAAATGTGGATGTGGGATCATCCTGGCCATTTATATTTACCAGCGGAGAGAGTGTGTTGCAGTCAGCAATCTCAGGATCTCATCCAGGGAAGCAGCAGGATTCTGGGGACCAGCATGAAACACCAACAAGACGGGCTCCCGGTTCACGAAACCGTTTATTCAGCATGGGAACAAAGTCAGGTCCAGAACAGAGAGCTCTGAACAGAGGCACAGCAGGGGTTTTTGAGGGACAGAACCGAGGGCTTCCACTTTGAAGGTGGAGTTCAGGGTCAGGGACCAGTAGAAGCTCACCAAGGGAGAAAACCCCCCCCAGGGACTCAAACCCAATCAGAGCACCTGGGCCACCCTTCATAAGGGGTTTGGGGTGGGACAATGTAACTCTTTGTCTCCCTTTAGGCTGCTGCCACAAGAGTGCAAGAGGTACTTAAGGAATCTGGTTTTGCCCACACCCCATTTCTGTGGGGAATAAAATAAGGTGCCTTGATAAGGTGGCATTCCTGGAGATTAATGGAAAATGCTGTGTTGATAGAGAAGACTCATCTGAATGATCCTTCCCAACTCAAAAACGTTAGTTTGTGTCTTCAGTGAAACCAATGTGTGTAGGTGCGGCCTCAGCCAGTGTGTTGTGTTTTGTTGTGTTGAAACAGTGAATGGCACAACAGGAGAAGGACTGTCCCTTAGCATCCAGGAGAGGAAGCAATTGGCAGAAGAATGGATGTGCCAGGGAAAAGACAAGTGAGTAACTGAAAGGGAATGGGGGATTCCAGGTCTTACATTATAATAATGCCTGATTGCAGATGATTTTTTTTATTTTTCTTTTTTTTAAGTGTTTTGTTGCTGGCTTTGTTCCTCAGCTCCTTTATCACAGAAGTATGTTTTTGCCAGGGCAGTTAGCTGGTGTCTGTTCCTGCTGCTTAGAGAGCTTGCAAGAGTCCTTCACTTTGGTACAGTGAGAGGAGGGGGGATGAGAAAGGGCTTGGAAAATCTGCTTTGTTTAGTCTTGAGAAGAAATGAAAATAAAGAGCATTTCTGAACCTTTTAATGTATTACATTATTTGATGTGACTGAAGTTGAGGTGTCAAGTGCTTAACTGCTTCCCTAAAGGTGCAAAATTAGTAACAGAAGAAAGAATTCAATCTGTATCTGCAGCTGTGTATCCAATTGCAGCTTCATTCTCCCTTTCTTGTACCTGTCAATAGCCTTGTACCCCTTGCTGCTGCATTTCTCCTGGATGCTGGGTCAGAGGATATGCAGAAGAGAAAGTGTTTTGCGGGACAAAGATAATGACGAGAAATAAACTGGTGTGAAGGATTGAGGCCTTCAGATCAATAGCCCTTATATCCATGTCTCCTATGGATATAAAGGAGAAAAACAGCAATGGGGCTGATAGACTGGAACTCCAGTCCGGATACACTCTAACAGATAGAATGGAGGCTCCCCTTTGCAGGAGACAAGCAGTCAAAGGTGTTACTGTGAGATTGAACTCTTCTGGTAGGTTTGCAGAGAAATAGGTTTAGAAAGTAAAGATATGCTTTGATTTCCTTTACTCTTCCCAGCTTCCCCTTAAATCCTCAATGTCTTAATTTCAATTTCCTAATAAAATGCTAAGATTCATCCGTCTTGACAGCTTTGCAAGTACAGCAAGAAGTCACATGTGATTCATGTTTACAAATGTGTTGTCTTTCTTCTACCACCACTTGTCACTGTCAGCATTTTCTCCCTGTTTCTGCTCATCAGGTTGACACAGGCTCAACTCTTTTTTTAGATTCTTGTTCTGTGGCTGCCTAGGCTGAAGTGAGTAATTTTGGCAGCCTGATAGTTCACAATCACTGAAATCTCCCCAGAATATTCTGAATTTGGTTTTTTGTGCAGATTGGACCATGTGATCATTCATGTGGGAGCACTGAATCTGCCAGAGTGCCAAGAGCTGGTGTGTATATGATATTTTTCACTCTGTGTGTGATAAATAGAAGCAGATGGACCCTCAGATACTTTCCACTCTTTTATAGGCAAGACACGCAGCAGCCATAGGTGCTGGTGGCATTGCTGTCATAGCCCCCTTCTTCTTCAAACCCACAAACAAAGGTGAGTAGATGTGATTTCTGAGGCTTTTTTATTGCCCTCCCAACCTTCGTAATTGATAAAGGATTAATGCCAGGTACTTTCTTTGGAAAATATTCTGATGATAATGTTTGCATAACTGTAATGGAGAAGCAAAACCTTCAAGAAGCATTTTTTTAAGATGAGAGATAGCAGAATTGTCCTGGTAAGAAATGGGAAGGATGTCTTTTGGGATGTATCTTGTTAGCTTTTTTTAACAAGAATTGCTTTCGGAAAGAATAGTCTAGTTAACTAGTCTGTTCTGAATGGATAGTTTGCTGTTCATGCTTACTCTGGGCCACACTAGGAAGCAACTGGTTCCATGCTGACCACTTTCCAAGTTGTGCAACTGCTAATACACAGGTGTGGCTCTTGTTACTGAAGTGATCAGCTTTGGTTCTGTCTAAGGTTACTTCAAAACTTGCAAACTGAGTATTTTGCCCTTAAGATCCTGACAATAACATAAAAGAACCACTTGATGTTGAGGTCTGTAAAAGAAATATTAAACGTTGTCTGAATGAATTCTGAATGGAAATGTTAACATGAAAGCCCCAGAAGAAACCAGAGTAACTTGCCAGAATGGCTGATAGTGACAACCAGAGCACAGTCAGTGGCAATCAGGCTGGTACTCACAGAGGAATAGCACAAAAGTCAGCAGAAACCTCACTGAGAGTAGGATGGCAGTGAGGGTTCAGCACTGTTTTTTGCCATTCTTCTTCCTTCTGTATAAATGAGAAAATTGCCTAAGATCTATTAAGGATGCAATGAGCAAGATTCTCATGAATAATGTCAACCATAACTCTTTAATTCCTAAAATGGTGCAAAAGAAGTTGTCCAAAACCCTGTTCATCATCCTGACCAAGAAATACCCCAGGGAGGTGAGCATGAACTTGATCCCTTGTCCTCTGTTGCACACAAGTGATCCTGATGAGACCACTTGGCACAAAGGTCTGGCACATGTGACAGCATGCCTGAGCTGCACCTGCAAGAGGATGTGTGGGAGCTATTGAAACTAGTTTGGTTTGAAAGAAATATTGTCTTTGACTTTCTTAAGGTCTTCCTCTAATTTATGGCACATTTAATGTTTTATGACTTGTGAAGGGTTTTGTATGACTTGCTATGTGTGGTCCACAAGCTAAGGCCCCTCCACAACCCCTGTGCTGTGTATCTGAACTGTGTCTCCCTATGTATAGTCTCTTTCTCTTATGGGATACTTGATGGTTTCCTTCTAGATGAGCTGGTTGCTTTCTTACAGAAGGTTGCATCTGAAGCCCCTGAGGTGCCATTTTATTACTATCACATTCCTCCTCTGACGGGTGTGAAGAGTAAGTACAGAGTACAGATCTTTGGTTATTTGGTCTGGAAAGCAGATTATGTAGTATTTTTGAAAGCATTTTGAAAGGATTTATGTTTAGTCTTAAATGTGTTGTTGCCAGTTCATTCCTAAACTTTTTCTCATCTGGTAAAAAAGTCTTACTCTTTGTTGTCTTACTTGTTGTTTTAGAGCTGTATAGTTTACTAGGCTTAGGCTGAAAGTAAACAACTTGTAAAATATGAAGTCTTTCTCTTGGGGACAAGGAAGGAACTCTCCCAGAACTGGCCTGTGTTCCTTCATATGAGATTGCTATTCTGCACAGTTCGTGTGGAAGAGTTGCTGGATGGGATAAAAGCACAGATCCCCACCTTCCAGGGTGTGAAGTTCAGTGACACGGACCTCTTGGACCTGGCACAGTGCATAAACAAGAACGAAACAGGGGACTTTGAATTCCTTTATGGGGTGGATGAGGTAAGAAGCTTCTCTTAAGAATAATTTCTTTTAAGAAATAACTTCTTATTAGAGGATTAAGAAAATCCTCTCTTGCTTCAGCCTTGAGGAAGAAATAACCCTGGACACTCAGTAGTTCTGCTGTTCCCTCCCACCCTTTTTTTTTATAATCCTTGATTTTATTACATGAAGTAAATTTTTTTTATTTTTTTATTTTTTTTTTCCTCCCTCCACCCCAAACTAGCAACTGTTGGCTGCACTGGCAGTAGGGGCAAATGGAGCAGTTGGAAGGTCAGTATGGCTTGGACTCCTTCCTGTCACACATACACTATGCTGTTTTATCTTTCACTATCTGCATAGTATTCCCTGACTGCCTTCAGTCACGGCAGTGGAGGATTTTGCAAGATAGGGATGTACAGAGGCAAACAGACACATAATCTAGCTCCAGTCCTAGTGATGGAACAGTCATATAACCCAGGATCTCAGATTATGTTCCTTTGGGTGATCATTGTTGTGGTTTTTAAGCTGACACAAAGGTTTCAATGTACTTTTTATCCACATGGCAACTTTTGAAGTAGGTAATCACTTCTGTCTGCATTGGGTAAGGAACAAAATCACAGAGAGGTTAAAACTGTTAGTTCACATAAGCAGTCTGTGATGAAAAAAGCTGTGCTGAGTTGAATTTCTAATTTATCCTCTGCCCCTCATATCAGGTTGATTAGATGAATTATTGTGTGATACCTGTGTTCCCATCTAGGCAATCCATTAAATGAACAAGCAACTGGAAAATTAAGTGATTGACTTTCCTTATTATCCGATGATGTCTTTTTATTTTTAGTTTGCAAAGCAGTTCCATTTGGAAAGAACAGGGAAGAGAAATTGTCTCTCTTCCAGGGAGCTTGGCATACTTCAGATGCTTGACAGTAGACTGCACCACACATAAATTCCACAAATTTCACTTATAATGACAATGTCAACAGCAAAAGCCTGTGGTTACTTCTTTTGTTTCACTGGTTTCAAGTTCCTTCTTTGCATCTACCAATTCTATTTTTTGTTTGGTTTTTTTGACAGTACATACAACTATTTGGGCCGACAAACCAATCTTATGTTGCAAGCCTTTGCAAAGCCAGACTTTGCCTTGGCACAGCAGTATCAGGTACAGCATCTTCCCAAGCCTTACTGGGAGCAACTTTCTTTCTCTTTGAGCTTTACTGTTGCTGTTTTCCATGTGGTTCTCATCCATACTGAGGCAGCTTTATTAAAGAAAAATTCTTTCATCTTCAGCTCCCCTTTTTGTTACTCATCCCTCCTCACTTTTTTCACCATTCCTCACTGCCTTTTAACCAAGACCTCTTAATGACTTACTCTTCAACTCTAATCTCATCCATGCAAGTAAGCAATGATATAAATATAGTAGCTTTAGCTGTTTCTACACCTTCAAATTTGAGTGTGTTAATAAATTATTGTTGGTCTTTTCTAGTTACTCACTGGGGAATTTCTCAACTTTGTCATCAAACTGGGTAAGTAAACTGCGTAAACACTACCTATTTCCCTCATTATGTCTAAAAGTGCAAACTTTCTGCTTCTCAAACTCTCTTGTTGCTGTGCTCTTAGAACTTCCTTCCTGAAAGATTTTGCAGTGAAAAACTGTTGCATCTGCTGTCTCCCAACTTAGTAGCAGTTAGGACCTCAACAAAGGTTGCTGACCAAGCACGCTGGACAGATTCCACTCTCTCTTCCTTCCTTCTGCTGTGAAGTCTCACAGATTTAAAACTGTGACTCCCTGATTTACCCTTGTTCTTATCCTGACTCTTTCTGTGGGTTGTTTTATTTGTTAGGGGTTTTTTTCCTTCCATCTCCAAAAGCTCATTTCCAGCTTTATTTCTACAGTTATTTTTCTGAAATGGTCGTGCCTAAGTAGAAGAATAGCTCTGATACTTCTCTCTCCTGCCTTGCTGTAATTAAGCAGAAATTATGTTGAAGGCTATATACAAGGCCAAAACATTTTAAAATTGAATGATTTCTAGAAACAGAATCAAGTTTAAATATAAAAAACTATTAAGACCAATAGAGTGGTGTAGGGAACAGACAGGAAATGTTTACATTAAATTATATCAGCCGTTTAATGAAGAGAACTGTTCACTGTGGGTTTCCGGTACATATGCAAGTACTGATGAATCTCACCAAGCTTTAGAGCCTAGTTGTATTTCTTGGGTTCAAAATCAGAGAAATTGCATTATTTTTTAGCCTTATAGATGAAAATGCAAACTCTAAATATGCAAAGGTACACAAGAATTCGTAAGCTATGGACAGAGAGCAGGATGTTGCTACTTCCAAGGCTTGGCTCTGTGTGAGTCTGCATTGGGGGATGCTTATTTATGAATAAATGTAGCAAGTAGGAGTAATTTTTACTGCAGTGTCATTCCTGTCTGCAAGCAGTTACCTCTTTTCAATATCCCTATTCTAAGAAGTGTTTGAAGCCTGCCTGATACTGGATTACACAGAAAATCTGTACTGCTACTTTTTTTGACACCTGTATTGAGGCTGGTTTAAGGAAAGTGGTCTGTAAAAGTCCTGATTTTGCTTTTGTCTGCCCAGGTTTTGGTGTTGCACAGACTAAAGCTGTAATGACTTTTGTTTCTGGCATTCCCATGGGACCTCCACGGCTTCCACTTGTTGATGCCTCCAATGAGTTCATCGTCAAGGCCAAAGCCAAGCTGGACAGCATTGTGTGGCCTAATGGTGATTGTTCATAGTCATGGAATCATTAAGGTTGAGAAAAACCTCTAAGATCATCAGGTCCAGCCATTAACCTGACACTTCTGGGTCCACCACTAAGCCACATCCCCAGGTGCCACATGTATGATGTTGTTCACTTCCATGTTGATCTGGAGATTCATTTTCTGGGATTCTCTGCCATATAGCACATCTCCCACATGATGGGCAGAATTTCTTTCTGTGAACTGGTAATGTGCCAAGCCACTTGCTGTTCCAGCTGGCTTTGCTGGGGCACACGTGGCCTGACATTTTACACTGCTCCCCTGGAGCTCTGCATGTTCCAAGACTGGCTGGGAATCTTTAATAAAAAAATAGCAATTTTTCCCAGTTGGAGGAGAGGGCTGATGACTTTTGCCTAGGAAGGAGGAAGATCTGTGTCTGCCCTCTCTCAGCTGGATGGTATTTTGTTCTCTCCATGAGGACACTACACTGTGGGTTTAAACAGTATGACACCATCAGGTTGCTCAGGCTGGTATCTGTTCATCAGAGTCACTGGGACATGGTCTGTGCATATGAAATCTTGCTTCTGTCTGAGCTCTGTGTTTATACACCTTAACACAAAATTTAAAAACTAAATCCCTTTTGTAACAGCAAGATTTGGATCTCTAATAAGTAGGTATTTCTCAATTTTTTTCTTTAGGACCAAAATAAAGTCATGAATGAGCTGTGTACCTCCATGTGGCAGTGCAGAATGCTGTCATGCAGGTTAGGAAGCCATGGAATCCTAGAAACCTAGAATGGTTTGGGATAGAAGGGACCTTAAAATCATCCCATTCCATCCCCTGCCATGGGCAGGGACAGCTTGCACTATCCCAGGTTGCTCCAAGCCCTGTCCAGCCGGGTCTTGGACACTTCAGGGATGGGGAAGCCAACTTCTGCCAGGGTCTTACCACCCTCACAAGGAAGAACTTCCTAATATCCCATGTGACTCTACCCTCTGGCAGTGGGAAGCCATTCCCCCTTGTCCTATCACTTCAGGCCTTGTCACAAGTCCCTCTCCAGCTGTCTTGGAGCCGCTTTAGGCACTGGAAAGGGTTCTAAGGTCTCATATGAGCCTTCTTTTCTCCAAGCTGAATATCCCCAGCTCTCCCAGCCTTGTCTCCAAAGCAGAGAACTCTAGCCTCCTTGAGGGACTCCTCAAGGCCTTCTCTGGACTTGCTCCTGAAAGAGTTAAAAGCATTGGGCCTAGACATACTTGGGCAAGAATAAGATTTATCATAACCTATATAGAAGCTAGCAAATATCAGGCCACAAGCTAAAAACACAGGATGAAACTTGGCAATAGGGAACAAAACTTGAAATGTTTTGCAATAAACATAAAATGAAGGACAAAGCTTGCTAAAACCAGTGAGGAACTAACTGAAACAGCTGCCAAGAGACAACACATGCCTAGAGGAGAAAGGTGAAAAAATGGTGAGGAAGACATCAAGCCTTCATCAAAGAACCACCAAGGAAAACATGGAGCCTTTCTCAGTGTAACCACTAGGATGCACTGCGCCTTTGCTTCGCGTATGCTACTGATAATGATGCGTGCTAAGAAATATTTTGCATAACCACACCTTTTCTAAGGAAAACAATGTGCATAAAGTATAACCATATATTTTAATTTGCTATGTGCCTGGGTGTGCGCTGTTAGGAGGAGTGATCCCAGCCCACTGAATAAAGCAAATACCCACTTCTTGGACTTTGTCTTGGAAGTGTCTCTTGGCCAGGTGTGGGGTGATTCACTCCAGCAGCTCCATGTCCTGATGTTGGGAGCCACAGAGCTGCAGGCAGCTCTGCAGGTGGGGTCTCAACTGCGCAAGTCACCTGCTGTCAGATTGAAAGGTGCATTATTTTGAATGCTGGCTGATGGTCCCTGTGCCTGACACACGAGGTGTCCCGTGCCCTGACTGTTCCTCATGAAAAGAATGATTGCAGAGGGGCTGGAAGGAGGGAAGAGAGATCAGGAATGTACTGGAGCACTTTGGTTTTGCCACAACCGGTGGCACCACAGATGACAACAACAGAATTGTGACGGATTGCGTCCAGAATCTCACTTTCAAAATTCTTCAGAGGTAAGGCCTCTCTCACTTCTTGGATCTGGGAAAATTAGCTCAGGACATTTCCAAAACCTCCAAAAATCAGCATGTTCTGCTCCACATCTGTACTTTGCCTCACTTTTCTACACTTTTCCTTACCCAAAGGAAAAACTGCCAAAGAACAGGTCATAGCTTGTATTTTTTCCTGGCACAGCACAACTCACCCCACATCCACCCCAGTGGAACATCCAGCACTTCTGAAAACATGGTGTGCGTTTGTGCTGAAATCCAGCCTTACACTTTGTGTTACGTTCAACCCCTTCTGGAAAATAAAGAGCAAGGATGACAGGTCACAGGAAACACACTTACCCTCTGTAATTCCTGATCCTGCTCCAGATGGTACATGAAATCACTTTTCAGATCCCTGCTTATTTGCTCCGGAGTAAGCTGGAAGTGCAAGACATTATTTGGAAGCTTTTTGACCCCTCTTCTTATCTACATCATAACTTCAGTATCAGATCAGTCACACCAACATCGTGATCCCAAATATCCATAGAGGATCGCTTCCTGTATAACTCCCTGAAATCAGTTATGCCTCTGAGCTGTTTTATTTCATTCATTCCAGCGTAAAACATTCATCTCCAAAGAAGCCTCTCAGAAAGACAGAGAACACTGAAAAAGAACGATTGTTTTAATTTAAATACTTGGACTGCTTGAGAAACAGTCTATTCAGCAAGAAGCCAAGAAGGTGATGATTTAAACAGATGTTTTTAGTATAAGTAATGACCTAATGTAAACACAAACCCACCCTTAAAACAGTAGCTGAAAAGGCAAAAGTTTGAAGAAAATTCATCAGACAAATCCTGGTTTTCAACTGCAAAACAGATCTGAAGAAATGCAAAAATTTGTTACCAAAGTGCTAGCTGTTTTTACTGCAAGTAAGTCAGCTGTTCCAGTCAAAACTAGCACAGGTAAATCCTGAAGAGATTTGAAGCAAGCTCAGTTTGCAATGTCCATACTGGTTATGTGTTTTATGCAGCAACAGAATTTACATTACTTCCCTATATTTTGAACTCAATATATAACAATCAAAATTATTGTAATTTATGTAATTATTGTAATTTATGAAAAAAACTCCAGTAGAAAAAGAATGAAATTGTTTTGGCTATAAGAAATCTGGATGTTGTAGGAAAATCAAGTTCCTGCCCCGAAAGTCTTTTCTGACCTGGTTATACCAGTCAGACCAAATTACCTTCTGAACTTGGCAAACCAGTAATTCTTTCCCTTCTCCTTCATTATATCATGCCACACTGTTGCTTTTCNCGTGTGGTGCTGCTGCGGCCCCGGCGCCGACTGGAGCAGGCGGCCGTGTCCCAGTGCCCGCTGCCCGGCCATGGGGGAAGTGAAGAATTACCTGTACGCCTGGTGCGGCAGGAGGAGGGTGATGCCGGCCTACGAGATCCGCGCCACCGGCGGCCGCGGCCGGCAGACCTTCCTGTGCGAGGTGCGGGCCGCCCTGTGGGGGTCTGAGAGCTGAGGGGGACTTAAGGCTGTGCCGCGGGTTTGAGGACACAGAGGGGGACTTGGGCCCTCTGGGCTCTGGGCGTGTTGCCCAAACTCTGTCGGGGATCCGAGGGCTTTGAGTGTGTCCGGGGCCCTGCCGGGCGTCTAGGGGTTGTGCTGCGGGGTTCGAGGCCGCGACGGGAGCCTGGGTTCTTACCAGAGGGAACTTGGACCATACCGTGAGTCTGGGTTCGCCTCCAGGAGCGACCTGGACTCTGCCGAGCGTGTGAGGACTCTGTCAACGGGAATGGGGGCCCTGCCAAGGATCTGAGGTTCATGACGGGGTCTGGGCTTTGTCGGGAGTCTTGGGGTGCTGACGAGGACCCTGCCGGGCCGCACCCAGGGCTCTGCCTCAGGGTACATGGAATCAGTGCCGGGGGTCTGGGAGCAGGTCTGGCGGCTCTGTCAGAGGGAACCTGGGACCCTGCTGCGGGTGCTTCCGGGGTCTAGGTTCTGTCAGAAGGAACCTGGGGATAGCACCGGGGGTCTGGAATCCTGTCCGGGGTCTGGCCCCTGCCCGACCTGGTTGGGAGTCACTGGAAGCCGAGGGTTCAGGGAGGGCTGGGCCGCTTTGAGCCAGTATCCTGGCTAGGTGTGCATGGGATGAAATGAGTGAAAAGAGGGAAGAAGCCCGAGTGATGTTCTTGCAGGGAAAATGGATTGGTTTATTTAAGGGTGGTATGTGTGTTCAGTGTGTGCGATCCTTCTTGCAGTTAAAATAGTTGGTGAGGGGTACTGTATGTCACCTTTGCCAAGAACTTTGGTCTGGTCTTGAACTTGAGATGACATGTATTAAAGAATTCTTGTTAGAATGGCTGCTACTCTGCACTGCTGTAATAGTACTTTACTCCTGCCTCTAGATATTGGGGATGTGGGAGCTGTGAATTCAGATTGATTCTCACAGGTAGCTGGCGCTAAGTGTGAGACTATGTGTAGAACAGATCAGTTCATGAGTGATGCCATGGATTTGCACTAAACACCTTAAACTTGTCATTTTACCCTTTCCTTCCCTGTTTATCTTCTGTGTCAGTAAGAAAACTAAGAAACACAGTGGCATTAAAGGAATTTTCAAGGTGTTATAAATGGTTAAGCATGGAATGGTTGTATGAATAGATATATTCACAGAATCATGGAATGGTTTGAGTTGGAAGGGACCTTAAAGCTCATCCAGTCCCACCTCCTGCCATGGACAGACACCTTCCACTATCCCAAGCTGCGCCAAGCCCCATCCAACCTGGCCTTGAACACTTTCAGGGATGGGGCAGCCAGAGCTTCTCTGGGCAGCCTGTGCCAGGGTCTCACTAAATTCACAGGGAACAATTTCTTCCTAAAGTCCTATCTAACCCTGCCATCTGTCGATGTGAAGCTGTTCTTGTTCTGTCACTCCATGCTTTCTGTAAAAAGTCACACTATATGTACATATGTTGTATTATACAATATATAAGTACTGTACTGGTTTTGATATGTTGATGCCTCCTAATTATCCATGGAAGCTTAACAGGTGAAAGGATCAGACTCACTGAAACATCTCTTTCTGATTTTTGCAGCCCAGTAGAATGGCTGTGAATCCTGTATGGTTACTATGTGTTTGGAGGTACCATTGTCCAGGGCATAGAAATGCTGTTCTAAAAGTTAAAAATATAAAAAAAATCAGAAGTAAATCACATGTGTGTAGTTGGAATAACATGGAGCTATGGCTGAGTGGACACAAGGTCACTCCTGTCCTTGTTGTCCAAGAGTTTGGGATTTAGGTTGAGGAAAGTGATCTTGTGCAGAGTTTGCTGCTGTGTGTTGCCAGAGTCCCTTCCTACATTGATTTTTCTTCTTCCACAAGGTTTTGGGAAGCCCTTGTGCTCTGAGAAGTTCTCAGAATGTGGCGGTTTGCTTTTTGAAACCTACAGAAATATATAGCTATATATAATGATATGTAACAATACTTAGTAATGTTATTTTTCCTGTACTAATCAGCAGCCAGAATTTGGTGTTCCGGTCAGTGTTGCTGGCCTCCAAGCCCCCTTCAGCTGCATGTGCCAGAGCTGTGTGTTGTTCCTTGCAGGTTCGAGTGGAAGGCTTCAACTATGTTGGCATGGGCAACTCTACCAACAAGAAGGATGCGCAGAGCAATGCTGCCCGAGACTTCATCAACTACTTAGTGCGGGTGAATGAAATGAAGAAGGATGAAATTCCTGCTTTTGGAGTAAGCTGCTTTTTCTCCTTACCAAAGACTACTCTATCATTGTGCTGTCACGCTCCCGGTTGTGTTTCATCCATGGAGTTCAGTCTGGTGCCCCTGTGCAGTGATGAATGTGAGGGACTTCTTGCACTGCTGGAAGGCTGGGGCACATACAGAACAACAGTGGAATCATAGAATCATTTAGGTTGGAAAAGACTTTTGAGATTATCAAGTCCAAGTGTTGTAGGTTAATCTGGGAAATACAGCTGTCTATTGGGCTGCAAAACTGAAGAGGCTGGAAGGAATTCAGAGTCCCCGAGGTGCAGCCTGGCTTTACAAGTGCTGAGTATTCACACCTGACACTGTGAGATTTTACACCCATGTTCTAATATATATATAATATAGATAATCCTGTGTGCTTTAAAAAAAACAACAAAAACAAACCCAAAAACAGTTATCACAGATATATCAAGCTAGACATTGAAAATCTGGCATTTTTAAATCATAATTGCTTTAGGTGTGTAACAGGATTGCTGCTTTTTATGATGTTTTGTGAACACTCATCAGTGTTCACTTAAAGGCTGAGGAAGAGGAGGGTAACTCTGTCATTACAGGAAGTTTAGAGAAATAAATAAAGCATGAAGTTGAGTGGGAAGGATCTTCTTCTAGTGCTCCATTGAGGATAAATGACTTTCCTCAGTGGAAGCAGCCTCCCTGCCTCATCAACCTAGGTGAAACCCAATGGGAACACACTGGTATTTTCGTTTTGCTGTGCCAGTTAGTTTCATGGCAGCTGAGTGTTAAAATTCGCAGTTGTGTTACTATTTGGCTTGCTACTGGGTAGTAACTGTTGCATATTTACTGGGGATTAACTGTTGCATAATGTTACCTGAGCAAACTTCCTGAACAGTTTCTAGCTAAATAGTA